TTGTCAATATGCCTATCCAGACAGTCAATTCACATCCAACCATCCTGAGGTCAATGAAATCTATACTTGATTCCAGAACCCAGTAGCAGCAACTAAAAATTGATACAGAGAACAGTGAGGCAAATGGTAAGATGTATGGGAGAAAAAGTGGAAGTATGAGAGGTAGGATGAATTTTTTTTAAAAAAATGGAAATGAAACAATAAGATATTTCAGACAATGGGGCGGGGGGGGGGGGGGGGGGGGAGAAACCAAGCCAGCCAACAGATATCTGCTAGGGACAACCAATCAAATGCAACACAAAGTCAGGCTTAACTGATCAGTTTACAACAGATCCATATAGAAATAGCAACATATTTATAAGTACAAGTTAGGGCAAAAAGCATAGGGCAGAAATGCCATGTTGGTGCAGAAAACAATAGATCAACAGCAACAGAAAAACTGAGCATCTTTCACACTACACTGTTATAACACTATGAATCTGCTTTAGCTGCCATGTTTCTGTCCTAAAGAATCCTGGGGTTTGTAGTTTGGGGAAGATGCCTTCCCTAAATTGCAAACTCCAGGAGGATCCCATAGAATGTTGCCATGACAGTTAAAGTGGAATCATAGCACCATAAAGGCATAGTGTGAAATGTCTCCTCTGAATCCCTACTGAATTTTGTCACTTGTCCTCCCACATCTGCTCTGAACTGAATGGGATTTCTGCACTGGTAGAGAGACTGTTCAATTCAGAGCAGCTATGGCAAAATACCAAGTTCATTCACCAGCCCCATGACTGCAAATTATTATTATTATTATTATTATTATTATTATTATTATTATTATTATTATTATCATCACGCCCCTCTGCATAGGCAACCGGGGTGGATTACAACATTAAAAATACAGTAAAAATACAATACATGTCCCATAAACCCACCCAACCCTTAAAATAGTATTAAACAATGAAACAATTTAAAACATACTTAAAGTAGATCACAATAAGACATAACAAACAAATAACACTAATTGCAGCAAAGATTAAGGGAGAAAGATGGGCTGACTTTTGAAGGCCGGGGTATCTATTCAGGAAAGGCCTGACAGAAGAGATCCATCTTAACAGCCTTTTTAAATCCACCAGCCACCTCCTAGTCTCATCTTAATTGGAAGCTCTTAGCAATAATAAAAAATAGTTTTGCTGAATATTTTATAAATGTAAGGAGCAGTAGTAGTTAGTTTTTTCTGTATGTCTGGGCTATAATGAAATAATATAACAATATAGTCATCCCTCCCGATTCATGGGGGATCTGTTCTGGATGCCCCCGCAAATTGGGAAAATTGCAAATAAGACCCATTGGTTATAATGGGTGTGTGCTCCTGTGTGATGTGTTGTGCATGTGCCTCAGATGCATACTGCATTTTGTCTCTCCCCCGCTTGCCATTCACAAATGATCGAGACCGCAGACACCAAGTCTACGAACGGGGAGGGATGAGTATATATTTAACTGAGCTGTGAGTTTATACATTTTCATTTTCTACAGTGAAGGAAGAATGAGAAGATTCTGAGCTGCTCAAACAATTTTGAGAATTATATTTACTCAAGATAAGTGATTAAAATAATTTATGTAGTGAGAAAATGTCAATTTGTCCCTTTTATTAGAGAATAGACTTGATCTTAGCCAAAAGGCTGAGAACGAAAAACCAACAAATTCAAATAGAAACTTATAAGATAGCTGTTATTATTATTTGGAAATATCTGTATGCCTAGTCCATATCAGCTTGCCAAAATTTTAAATGTATAATACTATGACTCCTTAAAAATTATTTATGTAAATGAATTTTATAGTAAATTAAGGGGGGGAATGCAGACAGGCGGCCCTAGGCTGCCCCGGGAAATGGAGGATTGGGGCTGAGGCTGCTGGACACGTCGGCCCCAATCCTCCCTTTTACTGGCCTGGAAAAGAGCGGCAAAATGCCACTCCTTTCAGAGCCAGCAAAAGGGCGCCCTAAGAGCCACCATGTGGCTCTTTGGCACTCCTTCCGGCACAATGCATCAAAAGGCTGTACCAGAAGTACATCCTGACGCCGTGTGCTGTGCGTAACAGCGCGTGGCGTCAGGACGTCTTCGGGGAGCGGTTGAGGTGGCCAGCGTGCGGCTACCCTTCCCCATCCCTGCCTCCAGGACAGCCCGTCTGTAGAAGCCCTCAGTTAAGTTACAAGGAAAGGCCTAAAATGACATTTTAATATTTAATGGTATATATAAAAACAAGAGGAACTGTTATTTTAGTTTTGAAATGTCATTGAAAGGAGTGAACAGACACACTTTCATAATGATACAAAATCCACACATAACAATGACTTGTAGCACTGATCAGCTTTTTCTTAACAATTACCACATTCTCTTGCTCAAAAAACTTTGCACAATATCAGCTGCTAATACCTAGGTTCCCAATAACACAATGTAACTGAATTCTACTGGAATTCTACATTTAAGGATACATTTTGACCAGGACGTACTGGATTCCACTTGTTCCAGTGGCAGATCCCCTCTCATGTCCCCTAAAAAACTATTCCAGGGAGCCAGAAGATCCTAATGAGCAGAGTTTCAGTGCCATGGAAGGTTGTAGACAGGAGTGAGTTAAGTCCCAACTCCACTTGCAGAAGCAACGAAATCATATTCAGCCTTGGATTCAAATATCAAAAAAGTATGTAATAAAATCTAAAACTAGGGTGGTAATCATTTGATCCACCAG